GTTATCGTGCCACTTATTAGAGGATTTCTCTCATTGTTGGGTTAAATGTACGTTTACATTATATAGTCATGTAAGTGACACCCGTTTCTATACCTTTAGATTTGTTATGTATCATAACTTTTTAGTGGCTCTTTAATAAATTCTCATTGTCGATTGATTATTAAAAAAAAAAAAGACCGTGTAACATTCACAAAGTTTTTCAAAATAGTTAAAAAAGTATTCCCTAAAAGTTTTGCTGAATACCATGTGTGCTCCTACATTCTTAATAATTAAAAGTATCCTAATGTCTTTAAACTACACCAAAATTATCCGTTAAGTTTTAAAAAATAGTTAAAATACAACATTTAACTAGTTAAATTGTGGAAAATGGGATAATCACTTTTAAGAATCAATATTTAAACATTATGTTGGTAATTGTGCTAACAACCTATAGTTCAGTTTCGATATAATAAAAAGAGACAAAGATGGGGCATCCTCGGGACAGCCCCGGGGCAAGCCCGGGAAAGCCCCAGGGCATCCCCGGGACAGCCCCAGGGCATCCCCGAGGTAGCCCCGGGGCAGCCCCGGGGCATCCCCGGGACATCCCCGCGAGAGCCCTGGGACAGCCCCGGGGTTGTCCCGGGGATGCCCCGGGGCTATCCCGAGGCTAGTGATGTCAAACGTGTCGTGCTGGACCGGCACGACATGCTTGACCCCAGGGCCATCACAAGCCTGGGCCGTGCCAGGCACGGCCCTGCACAGTGCAAGGCCGTGCCTAAGAAGAAAAACTCAAGCCCGGTCCAGGCCCTTGGCGCCTAGTCCATAAGGGCCAAGGCCGAGCCTGGGCCCAGGCCCTTCACGGGCCGGCCCCGGCCCTTGTATTTTTTTTAAATTTAATTAAAAAAAATATCATATGCCCCAAAAGATGTGATTTTATTGAATTGACGTAATAGGAGTACACATAAATGACTGCCTCATTAAAAACCTTACTAAGTAAAACCCGTGGGGAGATCGGGACAAAACCTTAGCGAAGGAAAAAAGAGTGCAGTAGCTAGTAATAGTAAATTACAAACCTAAGTGCTTCCAGAAGATTCTGTTATTTCTAAGTTAGAAAAATATTCTTGCATCGAATCATTTGTGTATTGTTGTTTTCATCTTCTGGCATCTTTCTAGTCTGGATGCATTCTGCTTCTCTTCTCGTCAAGAATTCGGTTGCTTGCGCTAATAGCTTGCTCCGATGCTACCGTTGATACTGGAGTTGTCAGAATGTCACGAGCTATTAGGGACAGTGTTGGAAAATGATTTGTCTTGCTCTTCCACCACTGTAAGATGTCTAGTTTGTCGTCATCGATTACAAAATTTGCTTCAAAATATTTGACTAGTTCCGTAGACGCTTGTGTTGAGGACGATCCTGCCATTTTCTCTTTCTTCTTCAAAAAACTCCACGATGATCCTTTAGGCCCCGAACTGGTAGTTGACGACGAAGTTCCCTGTTCTTTTTGACTTGTGCTATATTTTGCTTCATACAAACTAAAATTTTTTTCTAACATTTTCTTAGCGTCAGTAATACTTCGTTGCATATCTATTTTTAAATTCTCTGCGATAGCAGTCATCAATGATTCAGTTCCATCTACTCCGTACCTAGGATCTAAAATGGTTGCCAATGCATATAACATAAGACAACCTGACCAATAACTTTTAAATTTATTTTTCATTAAGTTAACTATATTTCCAAAAAGTTATGTATCCCTATAATAAGAAAATATTTCTGAAATATTAAATAGTTGATGTAAAGCTAAATGTGCAGTAGGATAATAAACACCAGAAAGTAATTCAGTAGCATTGTAAAAAACTTCTAAAAATTTAAAAAAATACTCAGCAATCTGCCAATCAGGATCAAAAATTAAAATTTGATCATTCTTACTGCTTACGTATGTCGTGATAAGTTGTGAATACGGGAGTGCTACCTTCAACATTAAATATGTTGAATTCCACCTATGTCTCACGTCAGTTGGAAACTTTCTTGGGCGCATCTGGCTGTTCCTGCAATATTGTTTGAATTCTTGGAGCCGAGCTCCAGAACTAGATATGAAGGATAATGATTCTCTAATATTTGTAAGATTAGCTGAGATATGTTCAATTCCTGCCTGAACTACTAAATTAATAATGTGACATGCACACCGTTGATGAAAAATTTCCCCTCCAAATGCCGGTTTCAAACTATGTTTAAACAGATTAATTGCAGCTGTATTAGCTGACGCATTATCAAAAGTAATTGTTAAAACTTAATCTTCTATCCCATAAAACCCAAAAATTTCTATTATTGTAATAAAAATAGCTGTTGCGTTATGAGGATATGGACATAAACGAAAACTAATTATTCTTTTTTTGTAAAATGCAATCGTCATCAACGTAGTGCGTTATGACACATAAATATCCAGTTTTATTACACCCCTCCAACAGATCAGAAGTGCAAGACACAGTAGCATTAAAAGTCCTAAAATTATCAACAAGAGATTGTCTCATTGCATGAAAAACTTTCACGCAATTAGAATGAGTTGTGTTTCTACTTACCCGTTTAAATTGTGGGCAAAAGGTTGTCTGGATGAATTCTTCTAAGGAGGCATCATCTGCAAAAGAAAGAGGCAATTCAGCACTAGCTAGAAATTTAGTTAGTACCTCACAAGCACGTTGTGCATCGTATGTAAAATTTTATAACTCATGTGGCGGGAGTCCACACTCCCACCTTGGTGCAACGGTAGACATACTTTCCAATGTCTATCCAGATGACCAATACCCCACCCTTTTTATTAGAAAAGTGTTTTTTTACAATATTTACATACCGCATGAATTTCTATCTCACCTGTTTTTGGATTTGGTCGGGGCTCCTCGGTGAAATGCTGCCATGCCGGAGAAATTCACAGTCTTTTTCCTCTGTTACGTTCTCCAGCTTCCTCGTTGTGTACTGAAGCATTATCCACCGGAGCATTTTATGGTTCATTGAGGGTGGGGTTGGAAGGCATCATTTCTTCCTCAAAAAATGTCTCCTCACCAAGGTCAGGAAGAGCAGTGAAATCAGGGAAGTTTGGTGAGACCATTTTCTGGAAATTGATAGAACTTGATTGAACTTTGTAAATGAAAGAGCTAGAAAATGAATGAACGCGTGAAAAAAGCTTAGAATCAAAATCAAAAGAGACAAGTTGAGAGATAGAATGAGAGTGAAATGAGAAGATGAGAGTGAATTGTTGTGTGGGATTTATGGTGGAATTAAGGGGTATTTATTGGGGATTTTAGGGTTGAAATTTGATTTTTTCCGTTGGGCCCTTCGCGGGCCCAACGTGCGGCACGTGACGGGCCTCCCGTTTGGCCTATTACGTGCCAAACGGGAGGCACGTGATAGGCCAAACGTGAGGCCAGTCACGTGCCGAACGTTGGGCCCATGAAGGGCCCACTGGACCAAATGAAATGGGCTTCTTCGTGGGCCGTTTCACAGGCTTGGGCCGGGCCGAATCAGGGTCAAATATGGGCTTGGGCCCGGGGCTGTCCCGGGATGGCCCAGGGCTGTCCCGGGGATGCCCCGGGGCTGTCCCGGGGATGCCTCGTGGCTATCCCGGGAATGCCCCGTGGCTATCCCGGGGCTGCCCCGGTGCTGTCCCGGGGCTGTCTCGGGTTTGCCCCGGGGCTGTTCCGGGGCTGTCTTGGGGCTGCCTCGAGGCCGTCCTGGGGAGGCTGTCCCGTGGCCGGGGCCCG